AGTTCCAAGTTCAAGTATCAAACCGTATCTGTGAGATCCTTTCAGGAAAGAGAACTTTTCGCCATGAATGAGGATTGGTTTACATCTTTAGAATTGGTAACAATTATTTTTCTTCTAATTCTCAGCACCGACATGAACATTCTGTACAATGAGAAATGCTCATTTTGGGAAAAATTATGCGTTGAAAATGTCAATTTCTCCGTTTTTAGTTTCCGGAATTTCGCATGTGATTTAAAAAAAATTCAAGAAATGCCAGTGACTCTATAAAGAAGAGACAGCGTGGAGATATTGTACTGCAAAATTGAGAAACCGTGTATTTCGTGCGAATGAATTTTCTGATCATAAATAACCTCTTCGAGACTCGAGTAATAAATTTTAATTCCAGAAATATTCTTGTCAACAGAGCAATTAAAATAAATGAATTTATGTAAAAAAAAAATCTTACGTCACTGGAATTTCTTGGGTTTGTACAAAATCACGTGCGAAATTCCGGATATTAAAAGTGAGAAAGTGGCCTCTTCAACGCATACTTCCAAAATGTCTTCCCAGAATGTAAAAATCTTTTATTCCATGTTTATACCGGTGCTGAGAATCATATGCAAAATAACTATAGAAAAAATACTTTTAGATCTTGCATCGCTTCGTAGATACAGTACCTTGGTTAAAATTGTGTTCCATTGGGACAACATTGGTGTTAACGATCATTCATAAGTAAAGATAGCTTGAACCAGCCAAATGTTTATCTGAGAATGTAAAGGGAGAAAACTAGAAAAGGCTGCTTTTGAATGATTGGCATGGACTTGAATAATTCTTCGAAATAATCGGCCAATCTAATTCAAGCGCAGTAATTGAAGAAATACTCGCACATTATTTGTAACGCTTGACTAGGTAGAGGCAGAAAAAGCAGGAAGTGACTATACCATCTAGCAGAATTGGTGAAATCGTCGGGTGGTATAATTCAATAGGGAGCAGGAAGAAAGCCCGGGGAAGATTTAGACGTCGAACCCGCGGTTTCTTTTCCCATCCAGGAATGAGAATGAGCGAGGGAAACGCGATTGAAAATTTGTAGCGATTGGTGCTCCGGGAGCTGCTTTCGGGCTCAAAAAATCTCGGGATACAATCTCCGGTGCATCTTGAGCTCACAAAAGCCCGAAACATCGAGTCCAATTAAGATCCGCGCCTGAGATATTGCCAGCTGGGGCTAGACCACTCGGTGTCGAAAAACCGAAGTCGCAATTCCGCCAGGCTCGCTCATTCTTCCCGCGATCCATTTCCTTTAATTAAAGGCAGCATAACCAGCGGCAACAGGTAGCAACGCGGGGGAAACAAGTCTTCGATCACCCCGACGTCCGTGATTTCTCTTTCAGATCCGACCAAAAGCCGGCACCACAATACATGGACCCCATCGCTTTCTGTCGGTTTAGTAGTATAGCAGAGGGTGCCGCTTTAGTACGGCATCCTGCATCTATACCCAAGTGATCTGTAACATGCTAGTATGCCACTGGTGGAATCTCCATGCAAAATGATGCGTTGAGGACCAAAAAATTGAATATCAAAGAGGAAATTTCGTCGAGTCGGCGCTGTTCGCTATATTCCGACAGGATCACATCAGGAGACAGGACAATCATGAGAAAATATTCCTTTTGCGGAGAATATAGCTGCTACGAAATTATCTAGCAGAAAGCCTGCCTTTATCTTCATAATTTTCAAAAATAATGCATAATCTGTGTTTACATGCATTTTGTCTGATAGCTATTTTAACAGAAGCTGCGATGAAAGTAAAAAGCAAAATCGAAATCGAACTGTTGAGAAAAACGGGAATTACAGTTCCAATTCGAAGACATAACCGAGAATAATTTCAACGCAACGTCATTGGAACTGAATCCGCGGAATTTTTAGTAATTTACCCACAAATGAGAAGAATGGCAGCTGAAAAAACTTAAAATTTATGTTCTTAGAAAGGCTGGAGAGATGTACTTTTTTTAAATTGTAAATATGGAGGTCTGTGTTATGCCAACATCGTGAGTGAGGATGCCTGACTGAAGTGGCAACAAACAGACATTCAAGTCGCTCGCGTGGAAGCAGTCTCAGCGAAAGCTCGAAACGATGGCTTAATTAGGGAAATTTCTTCCGAACGATTCAGTCGAACAAAGGAATACGCCGGAGTTCGCCACGTCATTCAACAACACCGTCGCGTTCAATCACCGAATGATAAAATTGCTCCAAAACCTGGCAATTAAACTCATAACGTCTCAATTTTCGGACACAATATTTCCCGGGCCGGATCTCGAGGTTGTCTGCATGTTGCAAAGTAATCTCAGCAGCAAGACGGATATAATTCTGCTGCAGATTTCCTCGATTATCTGTGATGAGCTCAGTTGCCCCCCACGGCCACAATAATCGAAGTAATACTGTTCTCGCTTATTAGTTTTCCACAGACAACGATGGATCACCGTCGGGATTGCTTCAAATACTGGATTTTTTTTTACATCCGACCTTTGTATGCTTTTAAAGGTAATATTCAATCCGTTGTTACCGACACAGGGCGACAAAGAAGCCGACATGTAAATTATAAATCAATTTCCGATTTTTTTTTACCTGTACTACGATTTAATTCTAAACGATTCCCATATGCCAACAAAATTTAATTCACATCTTTTCAGAACAAGGAAAATTATTTCGCCCACTAAAACTTGGCTGGATTCCAATTTTTCGCATTTATGTCCTCACTTTTTCCGCCCTACATGTTCATGAAGTGGATTGCGGCCAGCTATACCGAAGACTTACGATTCGAGAATAGGCCGCAGTGCATTTTCATGTGTGTGAAGAATAGGACATTTGCATCCATGAATATGAGATGAGCCTTCAAGTGTCTCTTTTCATCGCTTTAGAAATAAAATTATTTTCCTTCGAAGGTCTTGACTACCGCTCAGCACATGCACCTGGTATCAATCTGAAAACCTGCATTTTATTCTGTACTTTACCGTATATTCTTCAAGTTGAATTAGTCCTTTTTAAAAGTATGGAACATTTGCAATCCAAAAATTAATTTTTGGGTGAATGGTTTTTTTCTGGCTCAAAACCTGGGTGTGGCCTACAGCAGTCGTACATGGCCGAATATCGCGTAATGGGCGTGTTTTGCATCTGGTGAGGTCAAAATTTTCAGGATTACTTCTGGCGACAGGAGTACAAGAAATGTCAAGAAACACTAAGTCATGGTTGAACAAGGCATATGCTCTCAATAAAGAAGGGGGTTGACTTTTGAGGAGGGAGAGAAAATTTACTGACGGACGAATTGCTGAATGATGTTATCCGGCACTATCCAGGGAGAGTTATCTCCTTCTGCGGAGAAGCAAAGATTAATCAGACCGGATTCAACATGGCATCCTCGCATTTGTCCAGCGCCAACTTGCGATGATTTCAAGGCGCCATGGAATGAGATGAAGAAGGGCTAAAACGGCTGGGCACCACAAAGAGCCATTAAATGCGCTCGCGGAAGAAATCGTTGTCATGTTCAGGACTAGATCATCACAAGCTCGCGCTTCTCTCTCCCTTTTGGGAATTCCAGCATGGAATTTCTGATAAAAAATTTTATTACTATTCGAAGCATACAATTTTATCCTGTAGTGGATGGATGGAATATTGACTATCGTTTGAACGGTACCCAAGGAAAAAACTTTTTTTCTCTGGCCAAAGTTCAACAACAATCCATAACATGTATCAATATTATATTCGACCAATTATGCCTACAGCACTCTGTGTAAAATGAGGAATACATTTATTTGCCGCATGAGCGACATTTTACCCCCTGTGGATTCAAAAGGAAATTTTCTCACGCTTCTTAGTTTCACTTGTCCAAATGGACGCCTGGAGCAAACCTTTAGGTGATTTATTCACTAATAAAACGTCATCGCACACAAGACGTTGTTTTATTTTTCGTGGTTCAATTCACAACGAGAATGTGAGACACGTTTTTGCATCCAATTTCTTTGAAGTGAAAAGGAGGAGTCCCTTCTCCTTACTCATGCTTCATTTGCCAGTTTTATTTCCTCAACAACTGTACAGTACTTTCAAAAGGATTCCAAATTTGTGTCCCCTCAACTTAAAATTTTGACGCGAATTTGTCCAATTTTATTTCAGCCACAATATTTGTTTATAAGCTTGTTTATCTCACAAGCAACCATAAGATTGACCTGGGAATCTAAGCACAAAATCTGATTTAAAAAATGGAATTCAAGATGCCCACAAAAGAAGAGAATCATGCTGATTTTTAACCCAATTATTTTTCAAGTTCGTCATATACATACAAGCAGATTTGTTAAGAAGATGGAGGCGTTTTTGCAATTTTAGTCGCATACAGCTGAAATTCGTACTGTACTTCGGTTTCTGTGCGAGGTGGTATTTCTCTAATAAATATTTCTCTTATCTTTTTTCAATGAGTTTTTCTCGAAAATCAATTTGTCAATTTTAAAATTTTTTAAAACTTTGCAGACCTATTTTAAACTACCACATGTAGGTCAATTCTCGGGAAACAGATACTCAACAGTTTTATAAATACTGTGTCTAAATATGGTAAAGTATTCGAATAAGCTACGGTATGTAGGATCATTTCGAATAATCCACCAGCAATTTCCTCCAGAAATTACTCTGGTGTGTCGAGGGAATCGCAGATTATTTATTCATTTGATGGGATGGCGGAAAATTCCGCCATGTCCGCGAAAATTTCGTGCAAAACCGTGTGAATCGGGATGATGCAAATAATAAATGGGAGTAGGCTTTCACAGAAAGACATTTTAACAACTATATTCCCTCTGTCTAGACTCTAGACTCATCATCACCTTTTTCCTGGCATAAATAGTCTTGAATAAAGCGATATAATGGAAAGGTTGATCAAGCGAAGTACTTTCGACTCCATGAAAGTCGCGGGGAGAAATTAAAGTTGACATCGGGAGTGTTTTAAAACCATGAATGCCGCACAGAAAAAGAAAAATCAGGTTTAGATGTTTTTGCCGAATTTTCGAGGTGTGGAAGAACTAGAAGAAACGGGGCGGAGTTTAGCGCGCTCAGGTCAATATTTCGGGAAGCCCGTGAGAATGAAGGAGGAAAGAAATGGAGGTAGGCGGGAGAAAAATTTAGCGAAGGGGGAAAAATGCGGGCGTGAAACTTAACGAGCGAATCCGCAGCTGTCAGGCGTAGGTCGGAACGCAACTCCATCATCGCCTCCCTAGTTATCAGTCTCGGGGAACCAGAGTAATCCGTTCCCAGGTTCCCGAAGCCTTAATAGTACTCAGGGTACGAATGAACGAACGAACGAGCATCTTTTAATTCGCCCCGTTCCCCGCAGCCCGCCCCGGTCACACCCCTGATGGATTTGGACTTCGCGCGAGGCGAGGCGTATTTTTCCAGCAAATGAGATATTACCTGGCATCTCCTAGTGCCATCATTTACACCCTTGAGCAGGCTCGGGAATTTCTTCCGATCCACGCGCACGCAACCCGAGGCTCGCTGAAAATCCCCTCGCTTCCTACTTCCACGATATTATTTTTCAGGAAACACTGCATTCGGAGACCCTTTCACCACAGGTGCAGCATTTTTTGAGTCCAATCGAACATCCGATCCTTCGCGTCATGTCTGAGTACTTTTATCTCGTGAATTTTCAACTCCGCGAAAAACCATCGTATATGACTGGGCTGTGGGGTCGCGTTCACGCGGCAACCCGAGCGTAGCATCCTCGCTCGGGTATACCGCGCAGCAACTCCTGCACGTCAACCCGGAAGCGGATAGGGCACCCGGTTTACCGCATTGCGGTAAACCGGGTCAAGAACAAAAGCTAACCATTTCCGGCAGCGATCGCCGGCTCCCGAAGCCTGCGGGCTTCGGGAGGAAGAATTATTACCTCTCGAGAGCCGAGACCGATAGCGTGTGAATCTACCTGTGTGTGGAATTATTCTCTGCGTCCTAGCGCGATTACTTGTACTTCTGAGTACTTTGTATCCTTCTGTGGTTGTGTGTTTGGATAAAGCTGCTTACTCTAAAGGGACTCTGTTAAAGAGGATCCGGCCGTTAAAGGCTGAGTGACTGCGTTTTATTCTCTCATCTAATTTGTCATCAATCGGCCTGACACATGGTGCGAAAAATGCCAAAATTTCCAAGCATTTTCCACGCGTTTTGAGAATTTTGAAATTGTATTTAAAGGAGGATTTTTTGCCCTTTTTGCTTTTTATTCCTCAGAACTGTGGCGAATTACATCTTCTGGATGTTCGCTGCAAACCGGATCAAGAACCTGGGCAAGGATTTTGAGGAGGTCGAGAATAGGTTCAACCGATTCGCCACTGGGAGAAACTCGTCACCGCCGCGTTGGCAATTCTGCGTCAGATACGCCAAGATGAACTGGGCCCACGCCGTAGGGGCACTTTTCATCAAAAGGTTCTACGACGAGGAGAGTCTCATGAGGGTAAGGCTCGTCCTATCCTCTATATATGTCTCTCTTATACTCAAAGTCGAAATTAAAACCCTTCTCATAATATATAGTTGCTTGGGCAACTTCTCTGACACGTCCCTTGTTCTGACCATCTCTGGCGAAATTCATCCTATGTTTGGACTTGTTTTTTCCAATATCATTTTTCTCTCAAAGTTTTGATTAAAACCTTCGAATTTAGATGCCCTCGTTTTCACATTCTCGTCTCAATCCAATCGGGATGTTTTGATTTTTCGCATCATTTATTCTCTCATCATTCGAGATATTGGAATTTAAGCTTTCCGAAATGATGGAGAACACTCTCTGAGATGTTCGTTCTTACCATTTCTTAATCAGATTTAGACGGATAATCATTTTTTATGTTTTTTAAATGCAGGTGAAATCCTTATTATAAAAACGAAGTAAAACACTGTGATGAAAACTTTTTCCGCTCAACAGCAAGCCAAAAATAAAGTCGGTGTATCAACGGATTCGAGCTGAACAGCGACTTTTTATACATGTGACCTGTAGAAGAACTTCTGTACAGTATTTGCATCATCGTGTTTTTTAACGAGTTTCTCGTACACTTCGTTACACTTTTAGGAAATACAGGTACGACTATTTTCATCTTTTAAGAAGTAATATAAATTCTGATTGGACTATCCTGTATACGCACTGAAACTTCTGAAAATAATAATTCTCTCAAATACAGTATTATGGATTAAATAACAGATGCATTGTTACTTGGGATACGTGTTAAGATCATTAAAGTAAATTAATGAAGCCCACATTTCAATGTTTCCGCGATTTTTAAGAAACGTTTCGGATTTTTCCATGACTATATGACTATATCCCATGACTATACAGTATTGAGATAATATTGTACTGTAATTCAACAGCATAATCGGATTTGCCAAGCTATTTTCCAAGAGTCATCGTCATTTGGGATAAAATAAGGCTCCATTATAGTGACTTTTTAAACCTATAATTATCAAAGCTGGAAATGAAAAACTTGCAGCGGAATATTTATTTGTGGATTTTTTCTCAATTTTTTTCGAAATTTGCAACATTTTTTTATATTTTAACGATGAGGGATGTTACTCGAGAACTTGAAAATCGCGTCGCATCTGCAAAAAATCATTACGGATATATTTTAAATAGCCTGCATCCCAGCAAGTATGTTAGCGTTTCCCATTCGTACGAGAGTATTATAAATAAAACGGGTGTGGTTGGTTCCCTATTTAAAGAAAAAAAGTATTTGCTTTACTTATTGCCTCGAAGAGCACCTTCTAATTATTACTGTTTTCATTCACTGCACATCTTTTCATGTCGTGCACAGACAAACTCTATAATCGATGATCTGATGAACGAGTTCCTGACGTTGTTGCGAGATTCTGAATGGATGGACAAGACTACACGGAAAAGAGCGATTGTCAAAGCCGTGGGAATGCGACGCAATATCGGTTATCCGGATTTCATCGACGACCCCGTCACTGTCGACGAAATCTATGCCAATGTAAGAGAATTATCGCCGCCATTGAAAAGAAAAGCTGCCTCTTATTCTTATACTGTAATTGCACTATCGAGAGGCTGTCTCAGTTTCCGCAGTTCTCATCAGATATTATTGGCATTTCTGCTGAAGCGTCCTTAAGACGACCTTATTGCGATAGCATTTTAGTATTTCTTTAAAAAGTGGCAACAACAGAAAAGCCTGTATTATTCCTCGTGAATCACGATTTTGATTCGCGTACAGTACAGCTGTACTGAAAAGTCGAATCATGCAGTACATCTTGAAATAATTCCTGCCTCATCGTCGCACTTCTATTTCTATACAAGAGCAGCAGCTTTTGAAGTCACTTATTCAGGGTATTTTCCGTTGATGTGCGTCAGCATATGAATTACCATAGCAACTAGAATTTCATGTTTAGTATCATACAGAGAAGGATTGGCGTGTTTTTGAACGTTCCATTCAAAGCAGAGACATGATCTGAATAAATAATCGCACCAGCAAGGTCAACCCTGGGAAACCCGATCATGCTCCGCCCCGTTCTCAGAAGGGGAAGTCGAAAGGATATACTGTATATAATAATCCCTTTGTTGCTTTCCGATTGTTGAAGATAACCATGTCGAGCGAGGATTTCATGGAAAACCATCTGACGATGATAAGGCATCATTCGAAGCTGGAAATGCTTTTGTGGGACGCACCGGTGAACCGCAGTCAATGGGCGACGCCGCCCACGAAAGTCAATGCGTTTTATCACCTCGAGAAAAATCAGATCAGTAAGATATTGTTCGTGTTTATTATGATGATTTTGATTTATAGAGATGACTGAAGACACACATGGGAACAAAAATTATATAGAGCTATGACGAGAAATATTACCTTGATACTTTTCATTCGGAACAAATCCTTCGCTGGAATCTTTAAATTCTCAACTTGCTGTGGGTATTTTGTGATATACAGTGATACCCTGAGATGTGGACATAAGTGGTGCATCAAGTCGAAATGTCCCTAAGTCAAGTCTCATTTTCCCTTAGACTTACATTATATAATTTTTAATTGGTGTTATATGGACAAAATACTCACCATAATTTCATGAAAATATAAATTGTCTCCCGATTTAAACGATTTCCAATCAATATATATTTCAACACAATATGGACATTTGGGGAATTGAATTCTGATACCTCTGTGGAGCAGATAGAGATGTTGGCATACTCTGTGAAAATAACATTCAAGTGAAAAAGAGAGAAGGAAGTCCCTCTCTGCCGGAGGTTATATTTTAAATTAGCAAAATGGATGGTATATTGGTGAGAGAAATGCCCAAGAACTTTTCTTGCATCAATTTTAGATTTGGAAATATCTGTTTCTTCTAATTTGGCCTGAAATGTATGTTGTGTATATTTACACTTCTTTATATTTAAGATTCGGTGTCTCCTTTATAGTGGCAGAAGTAAAACACAGAGTTCCAGCAGTATTTATCTTTTATTGACTTTCATCAATAATCACACAAGACAAG